AGAGGGCACAGGCCGGGCTGGGGGATCCCCCTCCCCCCGCCCCCCGAGTGCACAAATTTTTGTGCACCGGGCCTCTAGTAATAAAATTAAAAAAATGATGGCAGAGTAAGTGGATGCTGCACGGACACGCTCCCAGAACCAAACTGGAATTACAACTAAAATACAGAAAATCTTCCAAGAACGGAAAATGGAGACTGCATAGAGACTGGTAGGAGGGGCAGAGGTGCAAAAGGGCTGGTTGGGCTCCCACTGACAGCAACTGAAGTTCTGGAAGGATATCTCAGCTGTGGGGGGTTGCCACTGAGAACTCTGGGGTCTAATCCCCAAGCTGGGCCCCCCAACAGAGAGCACCAGAACTGAGAAGGGTGCCCACATAACATCTGGCTGTCATAAGCAGCAGGGTTGCTGTCTGCCAGGGAGAGAGCTGGAAATTCAGGTGCCCTCTTAAAGGGCCAACACATAAAATTCCCTGTGTAGCCACTCATCTTGTGCTCTGGCAGAGGGAGAGCAGAGTGGACTGGAGCTGTGTGAACAGAAGCCAGGACTGGGGCACTGGGGGTTAGAGATCAGAAGGCAGACACATCAGTTTCCTGTGCTGAGTCATTCCCTCAGGCCATTGAGGATATCTTTCTCATGCAGACATTTATTATACAGGTGGCTTCACCTGAGGGGGAAGACAGCTGACCCACCCTATTGGAAAACGCCTTGCCCATAGTGTAGTCTCCAAGGCCCATTAAGAGACTGAGAATAACAATTAGCCTCCAGGCAGAAGCAATTGCACCACCTTGTTGAAAAAACTGTCACCACACCTGTGGATCATTGCCTGAGGGGAATTCAAGACAGAATCCTATCATTTTGTAGGCAGAGATGGTCTCTGGCTATGAGTCTTTACCTGAGCTAATTAGTCAGAAACAGCATTTGACACTGTCCTGCACTAGAGCTTGAGAGGCGTTGCAGATCCACCTAATACATAGTCACAAACCCAAACAGAAAGCCAAAATGAGGAGACAAAGAAACAACCCCCAAATGAAAGAACAAGAGAATTCTCCAGAAAAAGAGATAAATAGAATGGAGATAAGAAATTTATCAGACATAGAGTTCAGAATAATGATGGTAAAGATGTTTAACAGCATGAGAAAAAATATAGTAACTATGAAAGCAGAAATAAAGAATGACATAGCATAAATAAAGAACATATTAGAAGGAATACACAGCAGATTAGGGGAAGCTGAGAATCGAATCAGTGAATCAGAAGACAGGGTTGAAAAAAACATTCAACCAGAGAACCAAAAAGAAAAAAACAATTAAAAACAGGAGGACAGCTTAAGGGAGCTGTGGGACAACATGAGACATAACAATATTCAAATAGCAGGTGTACTAAGAGAGGCAGAAAGGTTGAAAGTGATAGAGAACATGTTTGAAGAAATAATGGCAGAAAATTCCCTAACCTGGTAAAGGAAAAACTCACACATGTTTAGGAGGCACAGAGAACCCCAAGC